CACACACACACACACACACACAGCTCTCAGATTCCCTTCATCTCTAATCTCTGTCAGAGTCTCCAGCTTCTCATCTGCCTTTTTCCTTTTCCTTCTTCGACTTCTTTCTCTCCTCCATTTGTTTTTTTCTTTCTTTTCTCACACAGCTGTCACAAGCAGCTGGAGTGTTCCACGTCAAGGGAGACGGAGCAGGCAGCACCAGAGGAGTTGAATTCACACACGCACACACACACACACACACAGCAGACACTTCCCATGTGAAGCTGCTTCAATGACAAAGTGTAACTAAAAGAATGTGGAGCCAGAGTGAGCGGTGGTCCGCCGTGGTCTGGCCGAGGTTCACCCTCTGGCTCTGCTGTCAGAGAAGGAACGCAGGTGTCCGCTCTCTGGTCCCTCGTCAAACTTTACACCATGTTCAACCACAGGCTCAGCTTTAACAAGGTTGACCCTCTTTAACTTTGGGGTGTGTTTGCCTTGGCCTTTTCTTAAGGTATTCTGGTAAGAACGGATGGATGGGAGTAAGGTGAGACGGGGTGAGAGAAAGAGAAAGAGAGAAACAGAGAGAGAGAGAGGAGGACGGGGTAATAACTGATACATAAATGACAACAAAAGGAATGACTTCATGGATTCTTGATTCATTTACAGCTGTTTCTCGTATATGTCTTCAACTGAAAGTCTAAAAATGTATGACTCATTTTCTATTCATCTAATATACATATATATGTATACACACACACACACATATACACATATATTTATATGTACATATATATGTATATATGTACACATATATACACATATATACATATATACACATATATACACATATATACATATATACACATATATATATACACATATATACATATATATATACACATATTTAAAGCAGTGTGGGGACAGTGCCATGCTGAGAGCACCTTGGTGGTAACTTAGCAGCTGGTGGACTCAAACCTGAAACCCTCTGAAACCAAGACCGTTTCCTCAACCACTAAGCCACCACTGCTGTCCCCGTGTTCAATTCATACATTTACTTTATTTGTCCCACAGTGAGAGAAGTTCCACTGAGTTTGAAATACATGTCAGAAGAGTTTCGAAGGAACAGCTGTGAATGTGTCAACGTGGGTGGGTGAGGGGGGGGAGGTGAAGGGGGAGTGAGGGGATTGGACATCGCCCTGTTTACAAATATGGGCCGCTGCTGTGGTGGTCAGGGTGTAGGAAGTTCAACAACTAAGTGACTACATGAGTTAGGACGGATGTGGATACTTGGTCTGAGTGGGATTTGAACGGCATCCACTGATCACATGAGTGAACGCAGGCGCTCAAAGGTCAGCGTGCGCCCGGGACCCCGTCACACCGCACGGATGTTTGTGAGAAATCTGTTTTAATGGCTGTAAATATTTCTTTTAGACGTAAACTATTATGAACTAGATGGTGTCTGTGTGTGTGTAAGAGCATAAACAACGAGTGGACCAGGCCCTGGAGGGTCTGTGTGCGGCCCTGGAGGGTCTGTGTGCGGCCCTGGATGGTCTGTGTGCGGCCCTGGATGGTCTGTGTGCGGCCCTGGATGGTCTGTGTGCGGCCCTGGATGGTCTGTGTGCGGCCCTGGAGGGGCTGTGTGCGGCCCTGGCGAGCCCCGGACAAATGACTGCGAATAAAGA